CGGCAATTAAAAAGTTGTAATTAAAATTAAATATTACTTTAGTTTAAATTTTAATATATTTTTTTGTACTTGAACTAGACTCACTGTACAGTCAAACTAAGCGAGATATGCTTATGCCATGGCGTCCCGCTAACGGCAGGATCAGAATATTCCATTTCCAAATAATACTACAGTATTATCCCAAAAGTGGCATCAAAAAAGAAAAGAAAAGAAATCTTCTAAACGGTGGTTGCGAGACAATGAAGTGTTAATTTGATGGTTGTTGATGAAGAAGAGCATTCTGCTAATCACAAGTCTAGGAATTATATGCCCTTCATGGAGAAATATGAACTTTTTACTTCTTCAACAATTTTGCTACTCGCAGTGATGAATATGGTGATAGCTGGATTATCGCAGCGAATTCCCACAACCTTAGAAGGTCCGTTTAAGCCCACAACTCGTAGTTTCGATCCTTCGTTGCGCCGTGGCAGCGATGATTTGCCTATGAATCATCCAAGGTTACGGAAAAATGTGACCTCAAATTTCCCTGAACAGATTGCTCTTGCATTGTCTACTCCAACTTCAATGTGGATTTCTTGGGTCACTGGTACTATGATATTCGTAACTTCAGTTTTAGCATTTTTGGTGTTATTGTTTGAGTTTGTTCGATGGGTTTTGTGGTAAACTGGATTTTTGTGAATTGGGTTGTAGGGGATGCACAGATTGGATTGAATGTGACGCCAGTCGATCCGTCAACAGTGGGCAGCGAGGTGTGGTATGGGAAGGAAAGGGGAAAGTACAGTGGAAAGCAAACTGGTGTCTCAGTGATTTATAATCAGTTGTATCCATTTGAGGGCCTCTGGAATTACACATCTGGTATCATCCATCATGTGAAGATTGATGGTAAAATTTTGAGTAGAAGAATACAGTGACTATATGTTTTAGTTGCTTGAAATATGTTTGTGATATTTTCATTTCTTAATGATTATTTTCGATATGCAAACCACAAGATCATAGTATTTAGATTATTTGGACGGTGATTGGAAAATTCTCATCTTGCATGTTTTACAGAACTTGATCTGATCCCTGATTGATTAGTATTTTTTTGTAATCGCCTTATGTAACTATGGAGATTTGGATTTTCTTATAGGTCTTGAACCTGAAACAAAGTATTACTACAAGTGTGGCGATAGTTCTTTAAAAGCAATGAGTGAGGAACTTGTATTTGAAACCTTACCGTTGCCTGGCTCTGGCAAGTATCCTGGTCGAATAGCAGTTATAGGAGATTTAGGACTTACCAGCAATTCTACAACTACAATCGATCATCTTATTAAGAATGATCCTTCGATGATTCTGA